CAATGGGGAGAGGGAGGGAAAAGGAGGGACCCACCAACTATTAGATTCTGAAAGCTCCCCGTGTCACCTAAGGCTGGATTCTCATTTTGTCAGAGACACAGGGAAGAAATCATCTCTTGGTTCTAATTCTGAGACTCAACCTGTACCTTAAACTGGCCCTCTATGGCCAAAATTTTGAAGCTGACCCTCAGGCTGCTAATTCTTTTTAAGATATTTAGTCTCTCTTCTGTCCATCTTAGTTCAAAATAAAGTGGAAAATTTGGAATTATTTTAGAATGAAACTGTTGCTGGTTTTGACGGCATAGCACCTGCAAGAGTATGAGGTGTTCACACTCAGCTCCAAAGCCCCTCTGGGTGGCAGGTGGCCAACCCGGGCAGCGTACACCAGCCAAGTGGCACAATTCAGAAGTTCAGCTCCTAGGGTTAATAGGGCTGCTGAGAGAGAGTGCATTTCAGATGTTGTCTGCCATGGTTGTGTGAATAAATGCATGGTTCTGTCCCAGAAAGGAGTGTTCGGGGGCACCCTCTTGGAGGGCTTTGAGATTCGCCCTGTACGCAACAATGAAACAGAGGGAGCTTTCCTCTTAGAGTCCATTCAATTGGATTCATGCTTCAGGGTGGGTGCTCTCTGCAAGCCCACCTGTCCCACAAGTTGGAGGACTGCTGATTTGGTGACAGGCTCCTGGGTAGTTAATACCATAGACAGTATTAGATTGACTATTGCTGCTGTAAACATTCCCTGAGGCCTGATTCGTTGCCGCATGCCATAGATCAAAATACCACTGTCTACTATGTCTGGGCTCTATTCTTTAGTAGTGAGTATTTGACCACAGCTTGATCCCTGAGACTCTTCAATACTTCTGGCCTTGGGAATGTAGCCTAAGTTGAGATTCTCTGGTTACAATGGAATTTATATCTTTCAATTCTTCTGTTATTGTTCATACAGCCATGTGAAGATCCTTATTTGTGGGAACTGGGAATGATAATACTCACCTTACCTACTTTTCAAGTGGTTATAAATAAGATTGAGTAGAGTGATATGTCTAAAGGCCTTTGGAAAATGATATAATTTTACTCCCACTTAAGATGGTCCTATTATTTCACTACTGAATCTGGGTTACATTAATTATAGCTGTAATAAATTGCTTTTGCACATAAAATGAAAATTTGATATTCTTTCTGTTATGCAAGGGAAAGAAGTAGTAATGGTTAACATTTATTATTTGCTATGAAGAAACTGAGGCTTACAAAGATATAGTAACTTGTACAAATTTATATTATGTTTAAGTGACAGACCAGGATTGGAACCCAAAATGCTACCTCCACATTTTATGTAGTTAATAGCTACTAGCATCTACTGAATAGAAGGAAAGGTACTTTTCAAGCTCTTATAGATTTTTGTTCCTTTTACCAGCTGACAGACAGCTGTTCTACACAAGGTTTTATTTATTTATTTTTCTGTGGTTCAGGCAGGTAACCTGTGAGTGTTAGCATTACCTGGTGGGAATTTCATAGTATTAATGGAAATGAACTTAAGACTATAGTCCTTATCAAAGTTATAGTCTTGGGCAAGTTACTTTACTTCCTTCAAATTCAGTTTTTTCACCTTTAAAAATGAGAATAGCAGTTACTACCTCATGGACTTGTTGGGAGCCTCGAATAGCTTATGCACGCTAAGTACTTAGGAACGACCTTGCTCATAATCGGTTACTCAATAAATGTTAGCAATCTCCTATTGTTTGGCAAAGTGAGCATTTTTCCTTTTGAAGTTCCAGTTGATGGGGCAGCAATATATTTTATCTGCTTCATTTTCCACCTAAGGATATAATCAAAATTATAATAATATTTAAATATGAGGATAACAAACATTTATTGTTTGTTATTACGTTCCAGGCTCTAAAATAAGTGTTTTACCGATCTTATGTAATTCTCACAATAACCCTCTGATTAGGTATCATTATTACCTACTTTTGGAAACTGAATTATGGGGAGGCTAGGTAAAGCCAGTTGGGGACTTGAGATTGGAATCCTGGTGGGCTCACTCTAGAGCCCATTCCCTTAGTCACTGAGTTTTGGGAATTCCATGGATAAAAGAAGAGAAGTACACTTTTGGCAATTTCTAAGACCAAGAGTCATTTTGTTGTTGAGGGGGAAAAAAAAGTAAATCAAGGTAGACCCATGAGAAGGGAGCACACCTTTAAGACCAAGGCTTTTAACCAAAATTCTATATCATTTCTATATTTCTAATTATATCTTCAATTCTGCATCCCAAAGCTCTGTAGATCTGCCTTAGAATCAGGTCTCTGGAGTACTGGGAAGCCACACTTCCCTTCCTCTGGAATGTCGATCCTTGTCCCACTCTGAACTGCAAGACATTGGACTTGATAGAATCTTGGGAATAAAAGGCATTCTGTGGGCCCCTTTAGTTCATTTTTAAAACTTTTTGAAAAGACCTTCCATTTCAGATAGATGAAAATCTTATTTTCAATCTTCCAGAGCATCCTATTGCCCTAACAACCCACCGCTTCATTGCACTTGTCATAAAACACTTAACAAGTGAGTTGATATTCAGAATTCCTTATGCCATGGCCGAAGTTGGTTTCCTGGGGGGGCATTGGGGCCAGTTGATCATGATTTTTGATCAACGCCTCAACCTTTTATTTATTTTCTTCCTATTTTTTACAGGAGTGGGTAAATAGTCCTGGTGGTTTCTATTTTACTTTTCTACTCCTTTGAAACCCAGGTAGAAGGAAGTGACTTCATATAAATGACTTTGGAATTCAATCTTCTGATGGCAGAGAAAATTAAGTGGAAAGAGAATTTTAGATTTGGGACCTGATTATAGATTTGTCACTTTTTTCTAATGGGCTGTGTGGCCTTGAGTAAATCACTTCACCTCTCTGGTCCCAGTTTCCTTACCTGCGAGTGAGGTATTAGGATTACATGATCTCAAAGGTTCCTTTTAGTTTAAAACTTCTAGTTTCTACATGATAACCCCACAAGACTACACTT